AGAGTTAAAATTAAATTCGTCGCGGGGCAAACGCGTTTAAAAGCGACCTGCGCTCTCGAGCGAAAAACAAGCTTCGATCCTCCATTTCCCACCCTTGAAACTTTGCCAAAGATTTCTCATTTTCGACGTTGATTATTGCTATAATTAGAATACGCTTGGATTTCCGTCTCAAGTTCGTCAAAGAAGTGTTTCACAGCCATCGGCAACGCCCGGGACCGGTAGTCGCGACCGAAGTTTTCCATCGACCGCGAATTAAGCGATTAAGCAATAAGAGATTAAAGTAAACTGCGTCGTTAGGTATAAACGCGCGGTATAAACCGACCAACGATAACAATTCGATCCTCCTGCCATTTTACAACAATAATGTGCCAAGCGGATCAATCGAGCGATGAAGTCTCTTAATAGCATCGCGCTTTCAACGTTTGAACCTACCACGTTGAAGGTGCAAATTAATATTTAACGATTAGCGTAGTGATGAATCTAGTAATAAATCATATTATCATAAAGAAGAACGAATATAGTCAACGGACGGATTCACACCGATCCGCAAATAACGAGCTCGTGAAGATTTTCGCGACGGTAAATATCTTCCGTTTATACGCTCAGGATGCCGGAAGCCTCGCTTCCTTCAGGAGAAGCGAACTCAGCTGAGTTGATCCGCGCTCGGCCACGGATAATTTTTCTTCCTGTCGCTCTCGGCGACCTTGCGACAACACTTCCGATCGGATAAGTCGGATATAATAGAATTCCCGATGAACCGTCTATTTACCCTTAGCCTTGCAATAATTCAGCCACTAGTTGATTGTCCATCTGCGTGTGCATTATTGATCGCGCGTGCGTTCGTAAATCACCGATATGATTAACGACACGTGGCGACGGCGGCGGCGCTCCCATTTCCGAGGCGAAGCGCGGCCGTACGAAAAAAAAAAAAAAGGGAGGAAGAAAGGAAAAAAGAACGAAAATTCCCCATGGACGTCGCATCGTTACGCCAACGTAATTCCTCTCTCGGCAGATACATTCCCAGGGTCGGACTTATGACCGGGCGATTCGATAAATGATCGGCGCGAGAGAAACGAGCCGGCGTCGTAAACCGGACTCGGGAAAGATTTCTAATTAATTAAACTTCAAGCCGCGCTCTCCCAAGGGTCCGAAGGCGAATTTTATCCTGTCTCGTCGTTCCCCGCGGTTTATCGATCGACGGGCACGCAAATGCAGCTGCAAAATCAACATCGGCCTCGGAGAAGGTTGTAAGTAACCTGCCTACTTTTCACCCCCTCGCACGGCGAAAGGGAGATGCATTCTGCATCGAATAAACACGAACGACGATCGTGTCTCTCTCCCCCCACGAAACCGGGGAAAAGAATTGATTAGAGGAGAAAGAGTCGGTGGAGCGGGGGGGGGGGGAAGAGGACAGGTAANTGAGCTGCTCTCGACGCTTCCCTCATCATTTCCGGGAAGATTCCACCGGATAACCTCGCGTAGTTCCCTGAATATACGCATAAACCCTTTATTCAGGTTTCGAGGATTTCCCTGACCACAAAGGACGATCTTCTAAATTCCGATACCCGGCACGCTCGATCACGCACGCCCGGTGCTTTATCACTCGTCGTCATTGCGTCGTCCTCGAGGGGGCGACTTCCTTACCGCCGCGTCCGCCACGAAGGCACCCTCGTCGTCCTAACGATCGTCGTCGCCCGGACAGAGGAAGAGAAAGAATAAAATCTGCGAGACTGCGAAGGGATAGAAAGAATGAACGGGAGAGAAGCCGGGTCGAAAGGAGTCGAACGGGTGTAACGATAAAACGGACGATATGTAATTGTCGTTTGTCGTTCAGCTGAAATCAATTAATTCGCCGCATTTTCATATAAACGCGACCAATTTCGTCAATTAATTAACAAAAAAAAAAACTGGCAAACAGTATCCGAGCGACGTGTAAGAGGATCGAAGGGAACGTTCGTTATTTATCAGTACGGGATCAAAGCATTCCGCCGATAATTCAACCTATAATGAAGAGCAGCAAAAAAGGGGATGATTTTGGTGGATGCGTGTTCGCCGAAAAATGGAACACATTAATTCCCCGTTCACGGAAGTTCCACGGTTTACCAATCATTAACGATATCTCAACGGAGGCAATAAGAGAGAAAATTTCACCCCCATTCTCTTCTTCGTACAAGCAAGGGAACGAGCAAAATATTCAGCGAGCGATTCCGCTCGATCGTCCGCCCCAGTCACGACTACCCTTTCCCGGAGGAGAGGAGCACAATTTCCGAGAAAATGCGAAGGGTGAGAGAGAAGGAGAACGCGGAAAGGTGTGTGAGAGAGAGAGAGAGAGAGAGAGAGAGAGAGAGAGAGAGAGAGAGAGAGAGANAGTCTTACCGCGTAAGCGCGTGCAGCAGCGACGACGAGGCGCGTACGAACGCCCGAGAGGCTTTTAAACGGCAATCGATCGCCGCCGTCGCGATGAGGTCAACGTTGGTTATCCCGAGCGTATATACAGAGCGGAGCAACGCGGAGAAAGGAGACCTCCCGTGGGCCGGAAGGGGACTTCTCGGAGTCCCTCGACGGAATCGTCGTCGTCGTCGTCGTATACCCGTGTCCTGTGCAAAAAAAACTCTCCGATCGCCCGCCGATCAGGACGGAGAGGAGGATGAGGTCGCGCGATGACGTCGGCAGGCGTGATAGCGAATCCGTGTCATCATACCGTCATCGTACCGCCCCGCGCTGATAACGTCCGCGAGCGACTATGCCCGATGACGACGACGACGTAGCGATCGTTACGATTGGGATCTCGCGACGCGATCTCGTGGCACGAAAACGCGCCGATAACGCGGCGCCGCAGGCAAGAGAGAGAGAGAGAGAGAGATGTACACGGCCGCGGTTACATCGTCGCTTCCAGTCGCGCCGTCAGCTTACAGGACGACCTCTCCTTTTCTCTTCTATATAT